ATGACAGAATACTGATTTTTAGTACGAGAAAAAATATTTCACTTTTAGCTCAAAGCAAACAATGGTACGCTGATGAAACATTTAAAAGAGAACCATATTTGTTTTATCAACTGTTTATGCTACATGGCTTAAAAGAACATATTTCAGTTCCATTGGTGTATGTGCTTTAACCAGATAAAACAAAAAATTCATATATTTGCTTACTACAAAAGTTAAAAAAATTATGCCTGGTGTGTCACCAAGTACCATCCTCCACAGATTTCGAAACTGGCATGATAAATGTTTTTACCGAAGAATTTTCAGCTTCAAAACATCGTGGATGCTTTTTTCATTTCTCCCAGTGCATCTTTAGAAAGATCCAAGCAGAAGGACTAAAAATACCAGTACGAAATCTGATGCAGAATTTACATTAAAACTTAAATTATTGCAAGCGTTGATATTTGTGCTAACAATAAATATGTAATCGATACCTTCGAAGCCCTTTGTGAAGAGAATGTGCTACAGGAGGATGTCCAGTCAATTGTTGACTACTTCGAGGACACCTAGATTGGACGTCCGCAAAGATGCCAACGTCGCGTCGTTGCGCACCAAAATTTCCTCTTGATATGTGGAATTGCTACCAGACTGTGATAGAAGGACTGCCAAAAACAAATAATTCTGTTGAAGGACGGCATCGAGCTTTCGAGGCTCAAGTTTCTGCAGACCATCCAATATATGGAAATTCGTAAAAGCTTTACAGCGTGAGCAAAGCGCACGTGAAATTCAGATAGAACAATACGCAGAATACCTAGAAAGCCCGCCTAAACCTAAAAAGTATCGTGCTTGTGCTGAACGAATAGCTCTTGTAAGTATGAAGAGGGGCTTACTTACGTGGTATAGCCCACAACCTTCATTACTGAAAAATGATTCATGGATAACGACTTTGTTGTATAACAAACGGTTCTATTTAGAACCATTATGTACATTTGATATGATAAATAGAATATATTTTTTTAATGTAATATATTTGTCGGGGAATGTTCCCGTCGGGGAATGTTCCAATCGGGAAATTGTTGTCGAGGAATATTCCGTCGGAGAATTGATGCCGGGGAATTTTCCTAGACTCCTTTCAGTCCTTTACGGTAAAAGGTACCTTTTAGGTTGAGAAAGGTAGACACTACCGGTATTCAGGATTTTTTTCAGGTACTACCCCATTTGAGGGGTCTAGTTTTAAAGTATACAATCTTCAAATGAACAAATTTTACAGGAAACTCCAAAAACTTAAATAAATCAAAAGATAAATTAGTTCAAGATTTTTATATTGCTTATCTGGACTATACCATCCGTTATGCATTTTTTGCCATATTTGAGCCAAATATAGTGAATATTATGTGGAAAATTAAACTATAGTTTCATTTGGAGATTGTACACTTTAAAAATAACATAATAGAGTCTGTACACTGCAACTAATTTTATACAATTTATTATCTTTATTAAAAGGTTTATTTAGTAAAGATTGTTCGTTTTGAAACTAATATTGTATTCTAATTCAGCGGGTAAAATTATATAAAAGCCAGACCCCTCATTTGTAAGTGACCACCTTGAATTTACTTACTTCACTAGGGCTACTTTGAGTGCACTCGAGGGTCGCAGAGCAAACTGCGTTAATAAAACTGGCGCCCGGGCAACTTTTGTTCTAGATAACAGCCTGGCGCCACCCTCAACTTTTATTTCACCAAAGGTGAAGCATGAAGATATGTCACATTGATTATAACGATTCTCGACAATAAACCAACTGACCCAATTATTTTTAGATTATAATTTAACTCTTTTATAAAATCAATTGTAAGTTATTCCATCAAAAAATATATAGGTACCTAATTAAAATTTTAAAATAACCCCTATTTCGTTTTGACTAGTATAATTTAAATATATTTCATAAACAGTAACAAAAACTATAACAATATATCGTACACTCGTAGCCATAAATAATTTTCTAAAGAATAAATAAATACCTACTGTCTGCAGATTGCATGTGCTTTGCCTTCTTTTGGCCATCACCATATATTCTTTTTGTCTTGCAATGACAGTGTCTAGCTATTCGTGACTCTCTTCTATTATAAAAATAAAACGAAGTAGAAAGGCGAATAATATTAAGCTCATTAGTTTCACAGGCAGACAAAAAGCTTTTTCAAATCGTTATATTCCACATTCTTGAAACTGCAGATAAATTTAGGAAAAAAAGAATTCAGGAGATGTGGGGTTTATTTATGAAAAACGGTTTTCTGGATTTAAGGTTAAAAAAATTTAGAACGATGTATTTACTTGACGACCTGTTTTATTGGATTTGAGTCATTTCAGAATGTTAAGACTTTTTACTTTCCTATCTGTATACAGATATAAGGAAAGTATAGGAATCATGATTTTTTTCGACCTCGAGTTTTACGTTTTGAGGTCCCCTGAATCCGTTTTGACTATTTTCGCAATGATGTCTCTGTGTGTGTCTGTGTGTGTGTGTGTCTGTCTGTGTGTCGCATAACTCATGAACCGATACACAGAAAAACACCAAATTTTAAACTTAAGCTACATAAATCACAACTTTGTCTTCTCCTCCTATACCGCCCTCCATTGTTTCCAAATAAGTCACACTTGATTAAGTTATTCGCAAAGAAGAGCAAATACAAATGGTCCGATGTCAGTTAGCAGCTCGTTGGCAGTCGACAGTCGGATCTCATTTAAAAATGCAAAAAGAGTCTCGCAAGAGCAAACGGAGGGTTAAAACTCGCTCTAATAATAATAATGCTATCTAACTTTGTCAAAATCAAAGCAGACAGGGCTCCCTTTACGTCCCAATTTTAAATTCCAATATTGAATGAGGAAAATCGCAGAGAGGTGACATCGAGATTTTTCAGTGGTGTAGATGTACGAAGAAGCAAAAATCATTTTATAGCTTTTTAAGCTAAAAAATTTAATTTACTTGCTGAATCAATACCAGATTTTAAATCTAACCAATGGACGTACGATGCAAACAAAAACTATGGAAACACAATAGAAGATAAAAAGGAAAATAATTCTAACTCAAATGTGATCAATACGTAAAATAAAATAAATAAAACTAAAAACCAATATCACATATTGGCGAGCGACCGTTTCCCTTCAGAAAGCAACTACTCCTTTGGCTTATACCACAACAGGTATCCAAAGGAAAGACAGCAGAGATAGAACTTAAATTTAAACACTTTACCTTTGATTTTTCTCACTAAGGAGAACGCTATTCTTGGACCGGTTTCGTCCTTATTAGGACTATTCAGCAATTCCAGTCTCTAATGGAATTAACAAATGCTACACATCTCACTGGTATACAATAATGTTAGTTACGAAGAGAATAAGAATTCAAGTAGTGAAATCGTGTCGCCATCTGTTCCTAGTAAGCAAAATCAAAATAGAATATTTCACACTTTTGTTTAACGTCTTTAATTTTAAAAATATTTTTTATTCACTGATCGATTAATAATTTTTATACAAATGGGAAGTGTTTTTTACATTTAAAAAAAAAAAAATAAGAAATTTTTATTTTATAGACTACGATAAAAATTTAAATTCTACAAAAAGGGCCTTTATAAGTAAAATTTAAAACCGATTAAAAAAACCGGAGAATTTTTTCTCAAAAAAAAAAGGGAGTTATGATCAAAATAAAATTTAAATAATTACCACTGATTTTTGCTGCCATCGCAAAACCCGGCGGATTTTTTAGAACTAATAGTCCAGTCATATTAGTCAAAATAGGGCAAGTATCTCGAAAATGTAGTCTGCTATAAATTTGTATAAACGTTTAATTTGACACTCTAAAACTTGTCTCAAAACTTACTTATTGTAGGTTGTTCGCTACTACAGATACCTAAGGTGAAGGTAAAAAAATCGATTATTTTTGCACATTTTTAGCAAATATCTCATTTCCTGTGGGTTCTATGCTATTTGTATTGTAGAGGATTAAATTCTCTACAACTTTTGTTTAAAAAGTTTTTTCATATCTTGAACCGTTTTTGAGATAGAGGGCAGAGAGCGCACACTGTTGAACTATTTAGAATAAAAAATTGTAAAATTGTCATTTTATTTTAGTAATATTGCCATTTTATCCATTTGTGTTTATATTACAATTTAAAAATTTTAAATATATTTAGCATATTCCCTGTGTAACATTCGAAAGAGTGACACTTCCAGACGTGATCGACCTGCCAGCACTCAAACTAGAAGAAGGTCTGCTGCCCCTAGACCAACAACAGTTGTTCGTACTGATTGATTTGAGCATTGGCCACAATTTGAAGAAAAAAGAAATAAATGCGAATATGATAGCTGTAAAGCATTGACCAATGTCATCTGCAGGAAATGTAGACTGAATTTTTGTATAATCAAAAAGAGAAACTGTTTTTTTGAGTTCCATCGTGGAAACTAAAAGATTATTTTGCAGTGTTATTTGAAACATAAATAAATTTTGAATAGTACTTTGTTGAGTTTTTAGTCCCATATTTATTTTCTCCCGAAGTACAATGTATCATAATTGATAACATTTTTTTTATTTGAATTTTGACAAAAATGTAATCAGAATTTTTTAAACAATTTTCCCTGTTTAAAAGTAGGGTCAGATCAGCTACCCTAAATTTTTAAATTTTAATTGCGATTTTCTAAAATTCATGCTAATTTATCCATATACAATCAATAGGTGGCTTTAGTCTTAAGTTATCGCAATTTCTTTTCTTTCGCCTTTTTTTTATAAAAACTTAGTAGTTAAAAGTATTTCACGAATTTTTCAAATACCAAAGTTAAAAAGAAAACATTAAAATAAAATATTTAAAACTACGAATTTCATGTAAACGAAATAAATATCTTCAAACTTATTAAAAAATACGTTCCAAAACTTTGTTTATTTGTCATATTTAACATTAAAACAATGACTAACACGTACTAAAATTATTTTTATTGCAGATAAATATCATCCAAGTATCAATATATTTATAACTTACCTAAGTGCTAAAAATATTAAACTCATGTAAAAACTGTTTTGATTTTATTCCAAATAGACATTTTTGTTTGTAGCAGTTCTTACGATCACAATTATTTGAATATATTACACTATTTTTTAATTACGTAAATTAACATAGGTACTTAATTACTTACATATTTAAAATAAATCACATTTTTATAATTTCAGATAAAGTAGTATCAACGTGAGCAGTATTGGGTGAAAACAGCTTCTGTTGCGCAGGTTGGTAGCAGAGCTGAAGAGGGTAACTGAAACAAATAAGAGAGTTAATTAATTTATTTATTTATTTAAACAATTTAGGGATACAACACAGTACCTTATAGATTTTCTGACAGAAACTATAGTCTTAAAAAAAATTTGAAGAATTTTGAGTTCATATTTTCTATAAGTTGTTGAAAGAGGCCTATGGTGAAAACTTTCCTCTATCTTGTACGCATGGTTTTAAATGGCATAAACGGTTTTCTAAAGGCCGAATGTCGAAATCAAAATTGAAAGAAATGTTAATCGTCCTTTTTCGACATCAACGGCATTATGATGACTGAATGGGTTCCAGAGGGTCAAACAGTAAACCAAACTTACTACTTGAAAGTTTTGGAGTTCGTAATAAACGGCCGGAGTTGTGGAAAAACAAGTCGTGAATCTTGCACCACAACAATGCATGTGATCATAATGCGCTGTCTATGAAGCCGAAAATGCGCTGTACTCGCCTGATTTAGCACCCTGTGACTTCTGTTTTCTGTTTCCGAAGATCAAGTCTGCCTTAAAAATAACCCGATTTAAGTCAATGGAAGAGGTGAAGTGAAAATCGGCGAAGCTCCTAAATGCTCTTAAAAAAGAAGACTTCCGGAGCATTGCTTTGAACAATAGAAAAAGCGAATGAAACGGTGTGTAGCGAGAGGATTGTAGAATAATTTTTAAAATGAAACTATTTTTCATAAGCAGTCTCGTTATTTAATTGTCAGACCTCGTATATACAGAAAATAAGTGAAAAACCGACGAAATCAGATGGTATGGGATACTTTTTAAAATTTAAAATGTATTTTTAAACAGACCTGTAAAATCGAGATATATTTTGTATCAATCAATTGGTTTGAAGAGAACAAAGTTTGACCTTTTGGAAACCTCATTCAATGTTAATAATAATTTAAGGATACAACACATTATGGTTTTTCTGACAGTCTTAAAAAAATTTGAAGAATTTCAGTTCATCTTTTCTATGAAATTTTTTACTCTTAGACAAGTGGGAGAAAATTTTATTTTGGGATGTGATTTTAGTACCAAAAATATCATCTGGGGCTCAAGATTAACAACAACCAATGGTAGGGAATTGCATGCAGCTGCAAGTGAAATTGGGTATGGCTACTAGTCAACAGGAAAACCAGCCTATTGGCCAATCGAAATAAAATAACTAACTTACTACGCTTCTACATCACTAGAAAAATACCCGAAATATTTATTAAAATAGAAGAAAACTTTAACTTGAAATCATATAATTACCCGGTGATAAGAGACACATATCTCAGAAAATTGATGAACGACAAAAAGTCTAATTACCTACTCTCTGTGGAAGGTAACTATGAAAATTAAACGTCTCCACATGTTACCTATAAAAGAAGACAATGGAAACTTAGCAAGATCAAATAAACCAAAACCTGATCACCCTAGCTTTATTGGGCTTGACATTTACTGCCTTCGATCATGGTGGACTGTGACTATATTCGAAATAGATTACCTGGGGTGAAGGTCTTAGCTCCACCCTGTAGCCTCTGGAAGATACTCTTGAAGTTCTGGTTGATGCACTGGGTTTATTCAAATAAAACTATCACCCTGTATTTGAATTTGATATATTCACGGCTTGCTGATTTCACATTTACTACTTGGTTACATAAATTATTGATCGATTACATGTTAACTTTTTTAAATCAAATCGCACAAATGCTTTAAATCAATTTACGGCTTGCTACCGGCGTTGTAAAAGTTTGTGGTGTTGTTGGTTTGACTGACTGAGCGAAAGTGTGTGTTTCGTTTCTCGATGCATGCTTGCCAGGATAGCTATTATATATATTTTGTTCTCTTACTCTTAGATGGGTATATCGTGCTTACTCACTTTTAGCCCAGGTACATGCGTAGTAAGGTCAGATTTTATATCATGCGAGGGAGAATTGCGGGCTTGCCAGATTTAGCTCCGTATTTATCACAAAGGAAATTTGAACTATTTAGGACCGATTTCACCGTTGTGTTAAACGAAGTTTAAAATGACATTTTTACATTAACAATGTCACTTTAATCTCCGTTTAACACAACGGTGGAATCGGCTCTTAAATAGTAGATCAAAGTTATTCTGTCGACTTGGCAACGTTGGCATGGGAGTATGGGAGCATGGGAGTATGGGAGTGCTACCATGAGTTATAGAATAGGTATCCTGGTCGCATCGGTTTTACCGGCATTCTTCTAATTGGTTATTTAGTATCTTAAGATTGCGCGCGCGAGTCATAATTGGGTGAAAAAATCTCGTGTGACATTGTTTTGATTGTTTGCGACGTTCACAGGTGTCTGAAGGTTATTTGAAAGTTAACCGGTTTGTTCTTTCACGACTTTAGATAATTAGTTTATACAGGGAGTGTCTATCTAGTATTTTATTCTTTTTATTAAGTGCGGAGGTTTATACAGGGAGTATCTATCTAGTATTTTATTCTTTTATGTATTTGAATGCTGATTTAGATAAGCGGATAGGATAAAAAATTTCAACCAAATAAAAAACGAAGACTTGACTTAATAAAAGAATAGAACATAAACATAGTAAGGTAACACATAAAGAGGTAGATAAAAAAATTAGAGAAAATATTAATTCTAAAAAAGCAACTGGTTATGGTCTCTGATCATAGGTAAAATACTAAAACAATTGCCAAGAAAAGCTGTAATTAAACTCACTTATATAATAAAGGCTGCATTTCGACTACAGCATGTACCTAGCATCTGGAAAGTCGCCGCAAATTATGATACCCAAGCCTGGAAAACCACCAAAATGAAAACCTATATCCCTGTTACCAAAGCTGTCTAAAATTTTGGAAAAACTTTTAGTAAAAAGATTGGAACCCATAATAGAGAGTAAAAATATATTACCTAGCCAACAGTATGGATTTAGGAAGAAGCATTCTATGACTTGATTAAGCCCTCAAAATAACGAATGAAATAAAGAAAACAATGGAAGAAAAAAAGATCTGCACCTCACTCTTACTTTTGATAAAGTATGGTTAGAAGGCCTTGCAAATTAAATAAACTTCTCCCTAAGCAATACTGTGACATCTTAAAATCCTACTTGACTGAATATTCTTAAAGAAATTAAAGAAGGCGCACCTCAAGAAAGTGTTCTGGGGCCAGTTATTTACCTGATGTTTACCTCTGACATACCACAAACGCAAAATGTGAAAGTTGCTACAGTTGCCAACGACACAGCCATACTTGCTTTCTGTAAAACTATAAAATCGACCAGAAAACTTCAACGGGAAACTAATAACATCTACGAAAGGACAAGAAGATGGCGGTCCTCCCAGTTTTCGCCGGAAAATGCACCAGACTTGTATTTTCTGGTTTATTTTGATCTTAAATCAATTTGCGAATTATGATTTCTACATCGAATTTTTAAAATTATGAGCAATGTTAAAAGTGGGAGTAAAAACAGTGAAAACAACAATCCATTGTGTCATAAATCAAACACTAATGGTGGTAAGTACTGTTTTCTTATTCCCAATAGAACACAGTAAAATTGACAATCAATATATTTATCTAAAACAACAAAAAATAGTATATTACATTACGAGTGTGGAAAATCACTTTTCACACAAGTGATGTGTAATATTTTTCCTACGACCACAAAAAAATGTAAAACCTAGGTTATTATTACTATAACAATTAAAATGTATTTAAAAAAATAATCAACAATAATCGTATTTATTCAATTTTCATATTTTCTAAACAAAAAAAACTAAAAAAACATAAAAAAAAAACAAAAAAAAAATTATGCCACGCCAGGATTTGAACGCGGTCGAAAAATGGCAAAATTGATAAGTTGAGCTAATAGCCGTTGTGTCGATTGAATGATCTAATCGGTTATGTATTTAACCAGAATAAAGAGCAAACATTATTTTAAAATTATTTTAATAATAATTGTTAAAGATAAATATCTAGGATCTAATTTACAACAATTTCAATAATTTAACAATCATATCGATTTTAGTATTAATATGGACATTACATATATCAAAATAAAAATTAGGTGTTTGACATTTTGTGACAACTACTGCAGAAAGTAACATATTCTCACTCGGGTGGAAAGTAAATTCTTATTCATATGCGTGTGATATAGGGCACTTTCCATAGGACTATATAGTGTGATATGTGTAACTTTCCTAAGTGGTCGTAGGAAAAATTAATTATTAAGTATTTCAACAGTGGCTCCGGAAATTTCAGGAAAAAGCGTTGTTGAAAATGAAAATGTATCAGATGTGGATGAGCCAATTGATGACTCGGATAAAGATAAAGTTTAAAAATTATGTTGCTGAATTGACCAGCAGTGGCAATGAGGGGAACAACAGTGATGTAAGGACAACTATAACTTCGAAAATCAAAGGACCAAAAAGAAGCAAAATGCGGAAGCGACATCATCAAGAGCATGATTTGTATGGATTTCAGACCTTTACAGATATCTTAGAATGCCAAAAGTTGAAGAAGAGAAGAAAACAAAAAAAGAACATTAAAAAAAACTGCATGACCACGACAGTATTAAAATTTTACAGTTCCTGGACAACCGATACTTAATGACAAGGCTCAGACGGACCAAACCATTTAAATTAGTGATGTAAAATTATGTAAAAACAGAGTACAACAATGCTCGTGTGGAGAGCATAGTTCATAAAAAAAGAATGAAGAATACATTATTGGGTGAACTCTTAGTTTAAATCCTCTTCAGTTTACTTAAGATTATAAAAAAGACAAATTGGTGATTGGCTGAAATATAGCTGGGTGCATTGCAAACTAACAAAAATCTTTTCTTTCGCAGATGTAGCAAAAAAACTGACACATTGATCATTTATGGATTTTACAGTAATACGAATTCACCTAATTAGTCACTGAAAATTATAGAAATAAAATATCTTAAAGAAAAAATTTTTTGTACAGTAGACGAAAACGAAATTAAATAATTTTGGTATATAGCCCTGTTTTTATTCAAAGCCTTTAATTATTTAAATTAGATTTTTGCTATTATTAAATATAACAGATGGCTGTTGTTTTGGTATTTCTGTTACGATACAAAGTCATTTGTTTGTTTTCCAAAATTATTCTATTTAGTTTTTATTTTAAATTTTAAAATGCAGTTACTAAATATTACGTGTTTTTCTTTACTTTGTCACGGCTCAAAAAATTCGACAAGATTAATTTCCAAGAAATTTTATATCCCCTTTTACCTCTAAAACAACATTGTTTAACTCCAAAGATCCCAGAGAGCTACTAGCGATTCCATCAAATGCCAAAAATGAAAGTCGAAGCCGTAAAAAGTTTACGAGACAATATTCCCGCTGTATAGATCAGCGCGTTCGGAAGATTGGAACGATAAAAATTAGCCCTATTTCGGCACCTCTCATAAACACGAACGCTTAGAAAACTCTTCATAAAAAGGAGAAACCGCCCATTCTATTAAGTGGAATAGTACGGGAAAAGTTGATATAATTATCGCCCAATAACTAGACTATATGGAAAAAGTTACATACAGAGGGCGATAATATAATATACTAATTAACAAGAAAATTGAAAACATCGTCTAAATATTAATTTATTTAATTTGGTATATATAGTAGTAGTAACAGGAATACCATTTCACTGACGTTTTAGCACAATTGCAATAGTTATAACATACAATTTGTTTAATAATGTAAATTTGCACATTCAGCTTCCTCGTCACAGCATGCTGTGGATGAGATTATTATCCTGTATCAATCAAAGTTCGTATCTTATTTGCTCTATGATGTCTGGTCTCCGGGAAAGACTATGGAGTATGTTTCATATCCTACATATGTTCAATGGGGAATAACTCTGGAAAACATGGAGGCCAGGGTAAGACGGCAACATTAACTTGTTCGACACACTCAACTGAAAAAAAGGCAATATAAAGCCGAAAGTTTTATTGCTAATTTGATGGCAGACTCATTATCAATATATAATTTTGGTATCTCCAGTACATCGGTAATTTCCTTTAAAATTCTTATTATCCCAATAGTTTCACGAGCGGTTTCACTAGCTGCAACTATTTCTGCTTCGGTGGTGGAAATTGCAACAGAACTCTGTTTTTGACTCTTCCATGCAATTGCTCCTGCTGCATACATACATAACACTCCAGTAGTAGAACGTCCTGTTTGCATATCACCTCCGTGATCAGCATCGCCGTAACACTCCAAAATTTTATTTCCGCCTTTTTTATAAATAATTCCAAAATTGACTGTTCCTTTTAGATATCGTAAAATACGTTTTACTTTGACAATATCTTCTCTGGTTGGATTGTCTAAATTTCTCGATGTTACTCCAACGGCATATGATATATCTGGCCTAGTGCCGACCATTAGATATGCTAGGGCACCAACAGCTTGTCTATATGGAAAATTTTTCGTTGGTTTCTTTATTGCAGGGACTCGTTGAATCTTTTAGAATTGGGGTTTTAAGAGATTTGCAAATGGTCATATCAAATCTTTCTAAAACTTTTTTCGTATAGGCTGTCTGATTGATTTCAATGGATTCATCTTCTCTGAAATTCAATTCCAAACCTAAAAAATACGAGGCTGGCTTTGTTGTAATTTTGAACTTTTCTCTCAGCTCTTCAAGAAATAGGTGAGCATTAGTTTTGTCAGAAGAAGCAATCAGCCCATCATCTACATACAAAGCAAGTATGAGCTTCCTCTTATCTTTACTTCTTATATATAGACATGGATCAGCTTGGCTCTAAAACGCTCTGCTACCATGTTGAAGTAATAGACAAAAATACGTAGATCAACTTTTAATAATGACAAAATATAAAAATCTAGTGACAGTGACAATATATTTATCTATATTTTGTTTTTTAATAAAATCAAAGTAACCACAGTGAAGTAAAGCTCTTTCTGCACCTTAACAGCGCGAAATACCTAAAGAGTTTTTATCTAGTAAAAAGAATAGAAACATACTCAGTATTTCGTGTTCAAGATAATAGCACCATAGTGTCTTTATTATCCCAAAAATAATAAAGCAGTACTATTATTGTCGACTCTGCATTTTGATGAAGCCATTGATGATACTACAGGCAAAGATCTAAAGCCTAATATAACAAAAGTCAGAGTTGATCTTGTGGATCAATTATGCCAAAAAATAAATATATCGCTTAATACAACTTCCGTAGTAGATAACTCCATAAATAAAGAAACCCACGGTTCAAGCATTAAGTTACTCCATAGAAAATGTCATAGTACGCTTTCCACTTTACTCTTTTAACCATCTGACGCCAATAATGAATTTCCATACATAACCTAGACGACTGTATTCTTTTTATTCCAATTAATTTGTTCACTGCACCAATCCAGTTTGTGGTGTCAATACTAGAGTGACCAAACGCTGGTGGTATCTGTAAATACTAAAAGTCTTAATATGGTGGTACACTGATAAAAAATTGAATTAAAGAATTGAGGGACCTTCCTTGACAATCTCATAGAAATTAGGCTATGACAAACTCGTGCTTTAATTGAGACAGGAGGTGGAAATGTAGATTATTAAAATACCGAAGAAATCCATATTCTACTTATAATTCACATTTATTTATATTATAATTACATCTTTTTTGCAAAATACTGGGTTTAGTTGTGGGTATTATTATTATTAGGCATCTAAGGGACAGACGATTCTATGTATTTAATGGACATAAAAGATCTAAAGTTTGTTAGATAATCCAAACCAACGCCATTAAACCGATGCTAATTTCCCGCACTATAATGAAAAAAGAAATGTTAATCGCACCTCTTTCCGGAACGGGATCTCTGGGATTGTCGAAAGTCATCTCGGTGTCCTGTTGATAGAAATCTCCAATTCTGGCGACACACTTGAGCGTCAGGCGGCCATTGTTGAAATGGGACTCGAACAGTGGCAGGGCCATGAACACTGTGCTGGCGTATAATTCGCCCTCGGGCGTTCTGTTCCTGAAGCACGTTTGGCACACCTACAATAAAGAAAACGAACTTGAGTTTTGTGGATTTGTTAAGGATGTATCGACACAAGATCAGTTAATGACAGCCGAGGGCCAGGTTGTATATAATAAAATAAATTGGATTACGGGGCCTTATAGTCGGGATGATGTAGTTAAAATAAATAATGAAATATTTCAAGTGTAACGTTCGGTTCTGGTCTAAAAAAATTTAGCCTAATAATATTTGGTCTAATTGAATCGTTTATTTCAGAAAGGTATTAACTAACATTTTGTTACTTTTGAGAAAATGAGTAAAAACTTATTTGTAGTTTAATAAAATGTGATAATGCTATTTTTTGACATAATTGGTTCAAGATAGAGTTGCTTAGATGTTTTTTTATGTAAAAACAGGTATTTTTTTTTGATAATGATGGAAAAAATTAGATTACAAAAGATGCAGTTAGTACCTTTCCCAAATAAATGGAAAATATTATTTTTTTAAAGGAATCAACATGGCGTTATCACTGAAATATTAGACAGTGAGTTGTTTTTCTAAGAATTACCCCAATAAAAATAATAATAATGCCTAAACATTATTTATTGAAAACTGTAACATAATTTGTATTAAGCTTGTAATGCAATCGCTTGTTTTGTAAACTTTTGTAGGTTATTCCAAAATTTCTTGATAGAATGGATGATATTCCTCTGGAACGTATGACATCGCTTTACCGATATCCGTTATTTTTGTTTCCAATATTGGAACTTTCTCTTGATGGGGTTTTTTCAGGCATTATAACCGGAACGCTTTCGACATTTTTTGGCATATGGGTCTTAAAAGTATGGTTCGGCAGACCTCCAATAAATTCTGAGCACACGACATATCCAGGAGTTACAACGAAAACGGCAAAATTGCGATACAGAAAAGGGTTGTTTCTGTACCCTGGGGATTCTTTTGTTTGAAGTTTCCAGAGACATAACATTTTTTTTTTACATAATTTGGGCCAGCATTGCTTGAAATCTATGATTTCTTATCCTGAAACTTCTATGACAATAAAATTTTTCTGCGCACTTAAAGCTATTATTATTTTAGTGTATTCGTGAATAGAAAATATACGAAAATCTCGGTCATTAGGCAAGAAGAAATGCCCTCTGATCGGAAAAAATTGTTCCACTTTTTTAAATCTATTAGTTTCAACTAATGCTGCACACATGCGTATCATGGTATGATTTTTGTTTCGCCCGGGTCAATTATCACTATAAAGACGTAATTCCTAAACATTTTCTGAAATTTCACGTTGAATATAGTCTCACAGGAACCAGCGTATTTCGTTTGGTCCCTTATTGGCAACACCTTTTAAGTCGAAGCAATGAAGCACTAAAAAGGCCAAAGTTCCTGGGTTTTTCCGTGCAAGTCGGATCGGAATGCGGTTTTTTGCATTCGCTTGCAAAAATTATTTGTATCATTCCCCCGTAATTTCCGGGTCATACAAACCGGAAATTGCATTGCTGCAGCCAAAAATGCATTCAAAAAATGCATTATTTGAGAGGCCTCTTGGATGATTTCAAAACTTGTTAAATAAGTGTCAGAACTAGCCCAGATCGGGTGCTCGGGGGTTTTCGAGGTCCATGATCACGATTATGATGTCTAAATTGACCACAGCCGACCTGAAGCTCAGGAACGTCGACGAACGTCATCTTCGTGGGACTCCCAAAATTCACGCGAGGAAGGAGGGAAACTAGGCGATCGGGTTTTTTTTAAGTCGCTGAATCCAAATATGGCATCGGCGAATACACCTGGTGCGCCCAAACCTCGACCTGGACGTCATATCCGAGAATGTTCCTCACAATATCGACAAGAACAACCAGAAAATGATTGAGCGGAGTTTTTTGGGGCGCTGAATCTAAATTTGACGTCGAAAACGACCCCCTGAACACCTGGTGCACCGGAATTTGGCTCTGAACGTCATCCCCGAGGGGTTTCCAGACACAATTGAAAAAGTTGAACCGAAAATCGTTCCGGGGTTTTTTTTTTGGGGCGCTGAATCCGAATTTTACGTGGAAAATGAACCCCCGAACACTTGGTGCGCCCTAACCTGGCCCTGAACTTCTTCACCGAGATTTTCCAGACCCAACTGAAATAGTAGTTATCGCAACAAGTGCTAGAAAATGCACTTTTACGCACGAAACTGCGTTACCCGCACGACGCGCAGCGGAGTGCGGGTAAGCATGTGAGTTACCATATAAGTAAAATTTCTAACGGTAAACCGAAGGTAGTTTACCAAAACTGGCTGGCGCCCTTTGAGGGTAACCATGACAAGGAAGAAAAAGTAAACCTTCTCCAAGAATCACCTGACCTTCTCTTTGAAGAGTTTATGGCTGCATATGAAGGTACCGGAAAAGCAAGATATGGTGTTATAACCGGGCAACAACAAGATCTTCTCACGGTTCTTAAAGACTACTCGCTAGTCCAAAGCACTTCCGTTAACATCTACGACGCTCAAGGTGTGACATCTGTATTCCGGTAGAAGTTTGGTCGATTGCCAAAACTTCAAGATCAGTTACCAACCCCTGGAAAAGCATTGAAACTTCAAGATGGATCGCGTTATACTTTCTATTTGATAAGAAAAAACACCTTCCAAGATAGATCCACTTATCATAATATATTTATTGGAAGCATAACTTAGTCTAAAGGGGCACGTACTAGACTCCAATGTACAGAAGCTAGTTATGCTCAAGATAAAGAGCAACCAACTGAATTGGAGGATCATTAGAAATATGGTGGAAATAATATTCCAACATACTGAGGTTAAATTATTGATCTGAAGCCATTCGTCTAGTGTCCATGCTTCAGCGAAAGCCGTTTCCTTTTATTTCCATAAAAACGGAAATTGTAAAGAGGGTTCAGTTGCAGATGGAACCATGCAGTATCAGTTCCAGGAAGAACTATCTCTTAAAAAGGTGGTAATATCATGTAACTACCTTGCCGTTCCAAGCCGCTTCGTCTAGGTTTCAAACTGTAGGACAGAGACAAACACAATGCTTCGAGAAGCGTTCTGCGGCCATTGAGTCATAAATGACGAAATTCCAAAATATCCAGACTATTGAGAATGTTCTAGTACGGAGCTGGCTTTATATAAATAGCGCGAGTTTATTGTGAGCTTCAATTTAAGTGTTGGACAGTAAAGACTAATTGTAATAAATAAATTAGAATTGTGAGTTATAATAGTGCATAAGTATTATATAAATTAATTAGTACGTTATAAATAAATCATAAATAAAGTGTTTGAAATAAATAAACTATAAATAAATTAAACAATAATTACACTAAGATATGGTAAATTCTGCAAAATGCAACGTAATATCATATAGGCAAAAGTGTGATTGTATAGCAAACAACTAAAATAAAGGAGGTGTCGTCCTGCAGAGGCTTGACACTGTTGAAGACCTTGGTGTTGCTTTCGATTTAGAATTTCGATATTTCAATCATTTTTTCGCAACTGTCGCTTCTTATTATAATCTTACGGTAATCAAATAAATTATCTTAGATACTTGCACATTCTTATTCAATGCCCTTGTTATGTCTAAAATTAAATGTGTGTTAGTAATACGGTCCCATAATTGTAATGGTTGCTTCAAGTCTTCATTATTATTATTATGGAACTTTTCCCAGAAGGGGATACGCACTAGACTAGATTTAATAATTTTTGGAGAGTTTATTTCAATGTAGGGCATCTTCAATAATTTTTATTTATAAAATTGTACATCATTTAACTATTGCCCTGCTCTGTGTTTTTAGTTTAACTTCTTTGTTTCTAGAATTATTTCTAGGCATAGCTGAAAATTCATTTTTTCCACTCCCAGGGCAAATTTATTATATCCTGTCTACAGTTAATGACTTGAATCAGGATATTGATTTATTTTGTACTGCCATTTGAAAGAATAAAAACTTAATTTTCGATTTGTATCCAGATATCTTATTAAAAATTCATTTATACATGTATATTTATGTTTTAGTTTCGTTTCTGATGCTATAATGTGCTATTTTTTCCTCCCTTGGTTTTTTTTTTAGTTTACTCACATTTATAGTATAACATAGCATTCTGGATGTAAGATTAAAAAAATAAATAACTTTCCGTTGTGAAACACGTTTAAAAAAAAGCGATAATAAAGGGTTAGACAAAGTTGACAAAATATTTAAACTATTATGTAATCCGCACGCTGGTAAAACCACTAGTATTCATATAAACTCCTTTAAAAAGTCATTTCCGCTTTGTCGGTCCATCTTCCTACAGCGAATAAAACGAAATAAAAAAAATTAATTCATAAAAATTACACACTCCATGAATTAACATAACACCTCTAAATTTCGCAATATAATGCGAAAAATAGAGAAACAGCCCGTTTCATCTAACAGGACAGATTTGGTTTTGTCATGAGGATTTGTTGAAAACGTTAAAAACCCATTCCGGCGAAAAATGGGAAAATGTTTTGGGATATGTAAATAAATGCATGCATATTCATGATAACTGTACATATCGGTCGATATGTTCGGAAATTTCATTGGGAATATGGGCCCTGTGGGTCTGATCGACGTGTTTTGATACCACCGGCATACGAGAGTAAGTCCGAACGAGACAGGTGAACTTGCGAGCAGTCTCAACGGACAAATGGTAAATATGAAGAATTAAATTCAATATTTAATGAATAAATTTATTATGATCCACACACCACACATGCTCTTGCCTCAGACAACAAAGCTAATTTTTTCTACATAAAAACAACTCTAAGAGACACAATAGGAATAAAAAAAAAGAAGAGATCTTATATATTTATTATACTCTGCTATGACGTACAGAGCAAAACAATATATGAAGAAAATTAATTATCTCACTACTCAGTCAAAGAGAGGGTCGTAGGTATTGTGTTACGAGGCAGTTTACCTAGACTTGCCTATTATCCTTACTTGGGTGCAGGCCAGTTCTATCAATTAAAGTAGACGAATTTCTAACTGTATATTTATGGTTATGATAAAA